TGAAATCGAATCCTCATTTCATCTACATTTACTCCCACTTTATCCAATTGTCAGGACATATAATGCTTACCGTAAACCAATTGGGCCATCATCTATTTAGTCTAGTGAAATTCCCATTTGGTGTTTGACCTAAGCGATGATTGGTCTAATTTCCATGTGGTGCAAATCAACCCCGGCAAAGGGGTTGAAGACCATAAGGAACTTTGCTGCAGGACCTACTTTAAAGACCAATCCCCAAATGGTACTGGTGGTTAAACCCAAACTGGTCATTAGACCCAAAGATATTTTTGTAATTATTTTATAATTGGCAAATTGAACTATATAAATTGGGCAAACTGCAAGATTAAACCATGTGAATAACTGACGAACTGGGTAACAACAAGACACTAAGCTAGTTTAAGTAGTACATCAGGTATATAGGGATTAATCCCTTGCCTATGAAAACCAGGTTCTTACTAAGTCTATGCCAATAGAACAATTCAGTAGTTCATGAGCGATACTACACTGATGAACTTTCTGTCCTAGCATACTCTTTATTGCACAGCGCCATCTCATGGTCAACTGTCCAACAGTTTGTATTAAACCCAAGACCTAATCCCCCTTTTGCAGACAGAGGACTCGATGCGAGAACCAACAGTGCAGCTAGGAAAGTAGTAAGTTACAGTACCATACTGCTACAGCTGACCTGAGATGGCGGTAGAGGGGATTTTGCTGCAGTGCTTCTAGTACAGTATGGCTTTAAGTGATCCGGACCCTCAACAAATTGGCAATGGACCAAATGGCAATAAACCGAGGGAATATCTTCAAAAGTACCTGTAACCATTTGAATGTGTACTGTGAATGAGTGTTGAAAGAGCATGCATGAACCATCATAAACTCCTCAAAAAAAAGTTCTGCAATTCTATAGTTTGAGCATTGATATCTCTCTCTTGCTACTATATCACATTTGATAAATGGGGATAGTCATGATAAATGGGCATAATTGTAAATGGGAATAACATGGCTTTTTAATGATACCAACATCAAGTCTGGCAATACACTAATGAGAGAGATAAACACTCAAACTTGAGTTGCAGTACTTTTTAAAGGGTTTAATGATGTCAGGTTCAGTGAGATTCTGTTCTGTTTTTCTCAACATTTTTAAAAGAATCCCACTTTAGGCGCATCTTTTTTGTTTCCTTTGTCCTCAAAGAACATGAAATCCTGTGTGAAGAAAAAGAAAAATGGACGAAGGATGGGAAAGACAAAAGCGCGTGAAAGTGGATGGCAAACAGAATTCAGTGCTGTATTAGTTAACACGTCAAAAACTAGTAAAACGCAAGTCCTGTTTGACCGACATTGATAATGACAATAATTATAAGTTGTTCCTTGATAAGTAGGATAAAAAGTTGGAAACTATAGCATACCGGTAAGCTTTCTTGGATCTGTGGCATATCCAACACCTTTCCAAATAAACTGCAGAAACTGATGCAATCTGCTATTCATGTACAATTGTAGTTATAGTTATAGGTATATAGTTAAAGTTGTTATCATATCAGTCAAATAGGACAGACCATTATTAAGCCTACGATAGAAAAAAGACTAACTACAAAGTAATAACTGTAACCATTTGAATTTGTACTGAAAGAGCAAGTTGAAAGAGCATGCATGAACCATCATAACCTCCTCAAAAAAGGTCTCCAATTCTAGTTTGAGCATTGATATTTCTCTTGATACCATCATATTTAACTTTGGTATAATTGAAAAGCTTGTTAATTCCCCTTTACGATAATGCCCCCTTTGTAATGATAATGTAATCATGGACTGTGCAGCTAGTACCCAAGTTAAAAGTGAAATGTTGCAAAATGCATTGTTATTTCTTCAAAACACAATCCATCCTCCAAAGATTCTGTTCCGTTTTCCTCAACATTAAAAAAAAAAAATCCCGCTTTATGCTAATCAGCTTTCTTTCCTTTATCCTCAAAGAACATGAAATCCTGCGTGGAGAGAGGGTGGGAAAGACAAAAACGAATGAAAGTAAACATACAGGTGAATTTGGCGCTATATTAGTTTGGTTATGTCCAAAATGAGTAAAAGGCCAGTCGGACCAGTCCTATTTGACCAATATTGATAATGACAACATCAGCTATACATGTTCAATAGTAGTTATAGTCGTTATAGTTATAATTATAAGTTATAGTTGCTATCATATCAGTCAAATGGGACTGAAATTTAAGCCTACAATTGAAAAAGACTAGTAACTGAAAATAATACCACATCCACAGATGTATTGATTGTGATTTCATATATGTGTAGTATTCAAATGAGCAAAATTCAATAACTAAAGTTTATGATGATGCATAACCACACAAATTGGATCACTTCTAAAACCCATCAATGACAAGGTCACAAATTGTGTGGTATGGGAAACTAACCTTTACATCATACTTTGAAATACTGAAACTATACCACAAGTAAAACCTTTCACAATTTCTCAATTATAATTGCCCCCACCCCCCCCCCCCCAAAACAATAATGTTAATAATAATTCAAACATCCAACCTTTTGTAGGTGAGGCTAAGCAGTGTAATGATTAAATATATAGGTATTGCTTGTCTCATAAAGGGAACTAGACTCATTTAGCCTCTAAGAGAACACAATACTGATGGGATAAAGAGGTTTATAAAACATGAATATCAATTTCACAGTGATCTAAAAGGATTGAGAAGGATTCACACGAATGAGAGAGAGATCACAATTAAATTGTTTGATCTTTTTATGTGTTAGAACTATTCCCTAAATTGTAACATCAAGTGATGACACTAATACATAACAATTATATGTGACACAGTGAATGGTACAAATCTTTGATATCCTAACAAGAGGATGAAAATCAAAGAACTGTTAAATCAATTTAGTATTTGCACTATTAATGAAAAGTGAATTGCTTGAGGATAGGTATCACATGTGAATTTTAGATACAAAAAAAAATTGGTTAATAGATAGAATGTTTGTAAACCTTTATAATGTGAATACAAAAACGTATCACATGATATTTTCAATTGTGATTTGAGATACAATAAAGTCCATTTATAGACGCAATGTATGGCAGTTAACCTTGAGTAGGAGGTTAAAATGAATACAAATATTAAACGTATAACATGATATTTCAAAGAAAATGAAGTCTTGGGGATAATTATCAATTGTGATTTGAGACACATAAAAAGTCCATTAGACACAATGTATGGTAGTAAAACTTTTTAGTAGGAGGTTAAACTCCAAACAAATATTAAAGGTACAAGAGAATATGCACAGGAAAAAAGCTGAACTCGCATTAAATTCATGAGCAAATGTTTTTATTAAAAATATAAAAAAATCCATGAGACACAATGTTTAGTACTCATTTTAATTCTTAATATCTTAGGAGGTTAAAATCACCATAACATTACAATTTATTATGTAACATTTCCAAGTAAAAAGAAAAAAAGCATAACTACCAATACCTTGAAATGAGAAAAACATTTAGAAATTCCTAAACACAACAGTTCCAAATCTTTGCCATATTTGTTCAGGCCATGTAAAAGGAACATACAAGTATGTACATTGTAGGTACATGTATTTCAGAAATAATAATACCATGATATATATATTTCAATTTTTAAAAATAAATTATTTGCCCAATGATAATCTATCTTGGCTTTATGTTAAAATGTAAAGTGAATTTGTCAAGGAAACAGTGACAGTACCAAACAGCACCTTTAAAGCCTTAGCAATACTGCTAGTCAAAGTACATTGACCCCATCATACGTTTGTGGTCTCATTATACGATTATTTACATTCCATTCATGCTTATTTACAGGCAGTAAACAAGACATGCAAGTTTTTTCTAACAATAAAAAGGGGGACAAATCTGGGTAGCATTCAGCTATCATGCAATGCCTCTCGGCTTATGAGAGACATAACAAAGGCCACTGCTACTGTCTGCTTCTATTCCTCTGCCCAAAATTCTGATGTCTGTTCATCCAATACAATTATAAGCCAAAGAGTATATTTAAAATCTCTTGTTGTGTTTTTTTGGTTTCAATTGAAACTCTTTTAGCTTTACTTAATACTTTTAGTTTACAGTTAAGATGGAAAAAAATGCAATAAAGACAACTGTAGTAAAACAGCAAAGATGGTCATTCTCTGATTCATACGTCATTCCTCCCAAGGTCAAAGTTCAAAGTTCAATCAAACTCATACTTGCATTCACAACCGACACATCATATACGAAATAAAAGGAAAATGTCATTAAAAGAGAAATCACACAGCTTACAATTCAACAGACATAATTCAACATTATCCATTTCTGATCATAGCAACGCAACAGAATCAATCAAAAATCACTTTTCAGAACACATCACAACATCCAAAATGGTTCCTCATTCAGGAATACTAAAATAGGAAACCTGTCATGACAAAAAATCTCCATGAACTATTTTTTATGAAGCTCATTGAAGTCTGCATCCAAACACAAGTATCTCATAGCAATATGTTAAACTATACAGAGTACAGTCAAAATTGTCTGTTAGAGCCACCCAAGGGAAAAGGAAAACATCGGACATTACAGTCAGGTGACCTTTACAGACAGGTTCAACAACACAGTTATCTTCTTCAGGGAGAAAACAACAGAGATATGTGGTCTTTAAAGGGAGATGGTCACCAAGTTTGATTTGTCGACCTACAAGTATGAAATGGCAGGATTGCAACGATAACAATGATGACAGGCAAGTCAGCTTTCATCCTTTCTGGACAGGCTCTGCAACACAGGTTCTCCCTATAAGGAGACAATTTAGGTGATCACTGACCACTACATTTATAGGTGGGCCTGATAACTGACCACTACATGTATAGGTGGCCCTGATGATGGACAGATAGTGACCATAGGTGACCTTTATAGACAGGTGAAGGGAAGAAGACAAGTATGAATAATTCTTTTTCCAAGATTGACTGAATGAAATGTATAAAAGTTTGAGACTTACAATGAGGAAGGTTGCAGCCAGAGTCACCGCCTTCATCCTGACATCCAGATCCATTGGGAAGGAGACACCAAAGTTATCCGCATCGGTGAAAGCTTCCTTGATGAATCCGGTCCACTGCTTGGAGATCTTGCCCACCTTAGAGCCTCCATCAGCAGACATCACCTGCAAAGAAATCAGGAATATATCAATCATCCTTAGACAGATAAGTAAATGGTTAATTATTTCTTTTAAATTAGTTTTTGTTTAGAGCACTGCAGTGAAGCCAAATTGCAATAAATTTACAACAATGAAAAAACAATTCATACAAAAAAATAAAGTAAACAGCATGACAAGTCACTGTGGGAGAAGGGGTGGAATAAACTGTCCAAGATCAGAGATCTTCCCCATCCTATTCCTAGGGCTTCCATCAGAAGACATCACCAAGAAACTGATGCAAACATTATTCTTATTTCAATTCCATTTGGAAAAAGAAAAGCAAGGACAGACTAAAGGGGAAACAAATCACAATTATTTAGTCTTTGTGAAACACCCCCCAGGACCATGTTTCATTAAACTTGTTATCAATAAACACTTACTATACTGTTATATATAAGCTACTGAAATGATTTCATTCGATTGGCCAAGAGCAAATTTGTGACAAAATGTTAGCTTGGATGTGCGCTACCCAGGAAAGCCCAGTTACACGACACCATCATCTGAAAATAGCAAAGACTTACATCGAATTCGACATCTCCGCAGCAGTTCCATTGGCAGAGGGGTCCATCGATACGCAGAATGGTTTCATGGTTCTCGTTCTGGATGGCAAACTTGGGGAAACAGAGGCTCCAGGATTGGTTGACGTAGCCAATCACGGTGCCTGGTGGCGAGCTCACTGTCAGCGTTTGCAGACAACTATAATCAGAGAAAAACAAATACCGGTAGGAGAAATGATAGTCTATGAGGTATAGTGAGAAAAACAAAAACATGAAAAAAAGGCAAACTTATGTAAATCCCCCCCCCCTTCCCCATCACCTCAAGAAAGTTTCAAATTTCATACAGCATGCAAAAATAGTTACATGAAATTGCGAAGGTCTAGCTAACTGTACTGGTAATCAGGAAAATTATAGATATCGTAAAGGTGAAATTTAACTATTAAACATACCCCCCATACATAATGTATGGATGGATTATCAAGCTTCACTTTGAAACAGATAAAATTGCCAAATATTTTCTTCTACAACATGTACACATAACTTAATACCAAATTTTTCTTTCAAATAATGTACACTGACTGAAAATTCCTAGACCTATGAAACCAATAAAAAGCCATGACTTTACGAATGACTTGAATATTAAGAGCTGAATGGGATTCTCAAATCCTTTTAATTGCATAAGCTAAAGTTGAAATATGCAGATGTAGATTAACTTTATCAAAAACATTTGAATGCAAAGTGGATTTTTGGCTACAACTTAATTGAGATTATGGAAAATACAGTCACACTTTGCTCTAAAAAAAATGTCAGGAAAAACTTTGGGCATCCCATTTGGCTCTTCATATTCAATTCATTTGTAAAATCATTCGTAACTTTATGCACAGCTTTATGAAACACCCCCCCCCCCCTCCGGTTAATTTGCGGCTAGTATGAAGGTCTGACCGATAAAGTACATTGAAAGCTATCTGTACTAGTTTATAGGAGGGATAAGACCGCCCTGCAAGGTCACTGGACAGGTGGTTATCTCATCAACTCAGCTCTCAATTAACAAAAAGAGGATCATGGGGGAACATTGGTCACCAATTAGGCATTGTTTTCTATATAGAGGGAGCATGTAGCTACAAGTAGGACAGTGGGGCTTGAATGTTTTTCTTACCATGGACACCAGCAGGTCGTACACCTAAGAGGGCGCTCTACATGAATGACCTCTCGTTGCGTGTTGTCAAGGATCTTCATGTCAAAGCAACGAGTCTTTCCGCACATATTCCTTGTGCAGCAATCACTGTCTGTACGTTCCAAAGTAAAGAGATTTACAAAATAACAGATACAATGGACATGTTCACTTTACATGCTTGTAATTACAATTCATACCATTCTCCATTACAATACACCCGTTTACGGTTACAAGAGTGTGCATGAGCAGACATGGGCGCCATATTACTTTACAGTTAATTGAAGACACATCCTTATATTAATGAATTACAATGGATTGATGAGATCTCAAATAGTCTACGACCAATACTTTTTTCTCTGTGATAATACAATTGTTTTGAAAAGATTCAAGTTTCATATGAAACGAATAGTATTTTTTTTATCGATATATAATCATTCAAATGACTGCAGACCATGTGATTATCATTATGTAGCAAATCACATTTATAACCTACCTTCTGCAGCAAAGTAGACTTGCTGTCCAACCGTGTTTTTGATCTCATACTTGTTTGCCGTTTCAAAACCAGTGAAAGCTGAAATGGAATTGAGAAAAATGAAGTACTCCAATCATTTCTATGGTTCTTAAACATTTTTTCCTGAATTTGAAAGAATGTTAGTACAGGAAGTGTGGTCTCATTTGTTGATATTTCTATTTTGCCACGTTGTGAATTAAAAATAAATGTCGCTTGGAGTCTTGGACCATAATTCAAAAACTGCCCCCTCCTACACATTCATGTACAAGTACAGTGTATATGCAGCTTCTCTATTCTGAAAGTAACATGAATTATGAAAGTAAATATTTTCAGTGGCACTATGGATACATTTCCTATTAAAAAGGGAGGGGGGTTATAGGTCATTCAACCAGGAATTAATGCTTTAGAAGAAGAAAAAAGGAGTTGGGGGTTCTTGTATTCATTTTCCACATGTGCCTCACTTATATTGATTTATAATCAAGAAAACTTTGATTTTGCAAATACAAGAGCACCACAGCATGAAGTCCTACAATAGGTTGTGATTTATCTACAGCAGTTAATTACTACAACATGCACATTTATATAGAGTTATTCCCTATCACAATACCTCAATGATTAAATGTAAAATGATATTGATGGTGTGCAGCTGTCGAGCAGCAATCAAAGTTCCCTCATCCACACTCAATAAAGCCCATGCCACTGACCCCGTTTGTTTACAAGGAGCTCCAGGGTCATTCCATGTCAAATCACCCAAAAAATCTGAAAATCTGAACCCGACCATTTTTGATTTTGATGAAACTTAGTGTACTTGTTGAGTGTGATCTCACAGCACCAAATCCCAAATTTTAGGTCAATTGGGTGGGGGGTTCGGGAGATACGGCCCACCAAATTTTGAGATTTTTGCAAAAATAGGGGTGGCGGGCCTACCTTTGAATCCTTGTATCTCGGGACCTAATGGGTCAATCTTCACAAAATTTGTATTGTTGGAAAGGGTATTCAATAAGGATTCAAAATCTGCGGCCATTTTGAAAATTTGTACATGTTGGGGTACTTTGACCTCTTGACCTAAGATTTGACCTTGAAATTGACCTTGTGGATCACGTGACCTTGACAACATTTTTCATGAAATGTAATCTCTGACATGTTCACTAAAACATATAAAAGTTTCAGAGATATAATATTTTTTGTTTAGGAGCAATAAGGATTTAAAGTATCCATACTTCGATATATCACAATAAACCCTATTATAATGTATACAATACATGCAATATGCACAGTACAACATACATCTTCCACATGCTTTTTTGTTCTAGTCAAATCCATTCTAAATGTCAGCAGTACTTGAATAGAAATAAAATGACAAGTTCATATAGGCCTAAAGGGTTAACAGGATGTATGGCTTTAGGCCTCTGAGTCGGTTCTAGGATAATTCCCCCCTGGAAAATTAACCCCCCCCCCCCCCGAGGACTATCACACCGGAGCACAATTAACCCCAGAAAATTGCCTCCTAGGACAATCTGTCCCCCCCCCCCAAGGACAATTACCCCCCCCCCCCCCTGAAAAATCACCCCTCAAGGATAGTTACCTCCCCCCAAACAAATCTGCTTTGATTAAACCAACTTATTAGCAGGATGGACTTCCCCTTTAACGTATAGGGGGGGGGGGGGGGGGGGGGTAATTGTCCGGGGGGTAATTGTCCTCGGGGGGACAGATTGTCCTAGGAGGTAATTGTCCTCTGGGTGTGATAGTCCTCGGCGGGTAATTGTCCTCGGCAGGGGGGGGGGGGGACATTTCCTGGGGGTTAATTTTCCAGGGGGGTAATTATCCTAGAAACGACTCAGAGGCCTAAAGCCATACATCCTGTTAACCCTTTAGGCCTATATGAACTTGTCATTTTATTTCTATTCAAGTACTGCTGACATTTAGGATGGATATGCCTAGAACAAAATAGCATGTGGAAGATGTATGTTGTACCAGGGCATGTGAGTTAAATGGATTCCGCATCTAAGAGGGCCCTTTGAAGCAGTCCGTTGCACCGAAAGTCTTTTTTCCCCCTATCATAATCCCCTTAATCCCCCACCCGGACCGCACAGCTCGTAAATCTCACTCCCGAAACTGAGTGACATAGGGCTCGCGAAATGCATTGTTGGAAATACACATCGGCTGCTATCGACAAAAATGGCGGCCGTACAGTAGGGAAGAGTATTTGGTAGGCGACGATTTAGACTTTCTGACTGATTTTGAGGAAGATTTGATTCTTGTATGGGAAGTTGGAGACCAATACAAGTTATGCACGTGTGAAATTCCATCAACGGAAAATCTTATTCGTTGCAGCGAACCAGAATGTACGGTTAAATGGTTTCATCGTGAATGCGTAGGCCGCTCCATGTAAATAGGCAGCATTTAAATACATGAATAGTCAATACACTCACAACATACAGTACAAAATAATGCACATAATCATCCCGATGCGGTTGATCGGCAAGTTTGACAGTAGACTCACAATTTTAATTTTTAAATTATTCTTTCTAACATCAGAAAGTTGAACAAATTGTATTTTAATGCTCTTTAGGTGTCATCAATCGTCACTATAGTACTGCCTTTGAATGAAATCAGTTGAGTTTTGTACAGTGGTGTTTGAAATGTTGAGAATCAATAGCACAACTTTGAATACATGGCCAGGGTAGTAATGCAGCTATGTGTGTTTCCACCAACAACATCCAGCATGTACAGCCCAGCGAGCACGGCGGCTTTCGCCTCGCCGGCCCGTACTCGGGGTGAAAAGTGGTGATGAATTGACAACTTCTAACCCTCATTAAACCAAATGCGCAAATATACAACACAGTTTCATTTAGTTATTTTAAGAGATAAACTTATGGACTACCTTCCTAGCTATGTAAAAATTTCGGAAACTTTCGGAAAATGTCAATAATTAGAAGAGAATGTGATGATGATGAGAAACTTGTATTCACTCTAACTCACGATTTCCTTGGTCGATTTCGCTGGTTCAGATGGCTACGTCTTCAGAAGAGTTATCCGAGCACAGCGAAAGCATTTGATAACCAGTAGAAGGTTGCCTTGTGCCATAAGTTGTCGATTTTGTATTTTTGTCTGTTATAGCTATATACATCTTCAATGAGTATGACGTCATTTTCTCGGTGACTCGCATGGCTTCAAAGCCTTTTTTTTATGACCAAGTGTTTGGAGAGCTTAGGGAAGCAGGCCGCGTTGCGTAACACTTCGTAACATTTGGATCGCCAGAGGGCATCTGTGGTCTGATAAGGGCGGCTGTTGATGGATTTGATGGCTGAAGAGGGTTAAATTACTTGTTGTTAAGCCAAGTTAATCTTGAATATCTTTCCCTTGGGAAATTCTTTCGAGACGGAATCTCCATTTAAAGTCTCACCTCCCTGGTTGTACTGTGCATATTGCATGTATTGTATACATTATAATAGGGTTTATCGTGAATATCTGTAAGTATGGATACTTTCAATCCTTATTGCTCCTAAACAAAAAATACTATATCTCTAAAACTTTTATATGTTTTAGTGAACATGTCAGAGATTACATTTCATGAAAAATATTGTCAAGGTCACGCGATCCACAAGGTCAATTTCAAGGTCAAATCTTAGGTCAAGAGGTCAAAGTACCCCAACATGTATGAATTTTCAAAATGGCCGCAGATTTGGAATCCTTATTGAATACCCTTTCTAACAATACAAATTTTGTGAAGATTGACCCATTAGGTCCCGAAATACAAGGGTTCAAAGGTAGGCCCGCCACCCCCATTTTTGCAAAAATCTCAAAATTTGGTGGGCCGTATCTCCCAAACCCCTCACCCGATTGACCTAAAATTTGGGATTTGGTGCTGTGAGATCACACTCAACAAGTACACTAAGTTTCATCAAAATTAAAAAATGGTCGGGTTAAAACCATTGGGTGATTTGACATGGAATGACCCTCCAACATTAGCCAATGTCTACATAAAACAATAGGTATTATTTGCATGTCTAATTTTTCAAATACCTCAGTGAAACAAACATTTAAAAAGATTTTTTTTTCAATTCTATACAATTAATACACCATTTTGGAGTATTAAATATCATTATAAAATGACTAGATTAATTGACATACAGGTACCTTTTAAACATGAAAAGCTACCAGTATATGCATTACACATTCACCAATCCAAAACTCTCATGGAGGTGCTTTAAAAATAGCTCTTGTTTCTCCCATTAAAAAATAGTACTTTGGCCTGTCTATCATAGAATGCATTATGTAGGTGTCTAACTGATGATTACATAACCATCATCAATGAGTTGTTACATAATTCCTCTGCCCATCATGCAACCATGTACACACTGCATGTACATGTAGCTTGATTCCATCAAAAGCTAGTTATTTATTGTAGGCAGGCCTAAGTCCGTAACTCCAGTTAATTAGGACCCAGTGTTTATGCAACATTTGACATTATACCTTTGCTACAGTGTAAATCAATCAGTGTCTATAACTTACATGTAATGGCGAGCATGTTTATTTTAACTACAGTGTATACATGTAATTGCATTTTGCAATCATGAATAAATGGAGATTTCTATCTACTAGATTAATGTGTTTTTAAAAGCTAATCTTGAACTCTGGTATGGGAATCATATTTTGAGAGAACATTGCTATGATTTATTCTGGATTGTTTGAAACCGTGAAATAAAAACAAAAGCACAAAAACTTACTGGGCATCATTATTAAAACCACACCTCCCATTCCGTTAGAATTTATTTTCTTTATTTACCAGAGCTTTAACACCTAGGACAATTTGATGGTGGTACGACATACCCTTATAGTCTGGTGACAATTGCGGTCAATTGCCTAGTACACATCTTAATATTTTCTTCTTCTTCCTCACATCTTTGCCCCTCCCTATCTTGGTCAATACACACACACACACAAGGAAGGAAGCTAGCCTACAAGAATTAAGGTCATGGTACATACATGTCGGTAGCCACAAGTACAATTTATAAGGATTTCCTTGATTTGTGACATCATAAATCAATCTAGATTAC